GTGGCTAGCGGCGGGGCGGCGTCCGCCGCATTCCGAGAGACCGGTAGCGTTGAGACTTCTCAGGGCTTGATGGCGGGCGGGAGCGGGCGGGGGCAGGTAGACGGGTGGCTGTTGAGTACATTGATCATAGATACTTCGGGGGGCATGTGTGCTCTGTCGCATTCGTCCTAAACAACAAAGACGCGAAAGATGAGACGATCATATCCGAAGAGATGAAATTGATGACTTGCCTGGTTAGTTCGTGCCAGCATCTCATGCCGTTGAATTTTATTGCTTGGGTTTGGGGGGGAGATGTTATGGGAAATGTACGAAAACAGCAACAGCATATGCACCCTCTCGGCCACACCAAGACACCAGACCACCATCACCTGTTTCGGCAAGGTCCATAGAATCTACGAGAAGCACACTGTGCCACGGCTCCGGGCAGAGGTCCGCCCAAGCTACCCCTTTAAAAAAACATTGCGCCGCTCTGCTACATAGTGTTGCCGTCTCACCTCGGCGGCATGGCGGCCAGTCTTGCCGTTCTTCTTCTTGAGGCCTCCGCGCACAACCACTCGACCCTCCGCTGGCGTGGTGACGCACGTGGTTCCGCCGTTGTTGTCCTTGTGCCACAGATCGATGTGGTTTTCCTCGTCGCCACTCTTGATGTGTTTGTGGGCGTGTGGGTTGGTGTTGCTCCCGCGGAAATGTAGCAAGAGAGTACGGCGGAAAGGGAGAAGGATGTCCGAATACACGGTGAACTCATGGTAGTGATAGGCTCAGGGGGGTCTTGAACTCGCGGGAAAAGGGGCGGAATGACATGGAGAGTGGTGTGAAAGCGGAAGGGGGGGAATATGTTTCGAAAACCATGGAGGAACAGTTGTAAAAACGTGTACCGCGTATCACTCCAGCTGTCAACCACAAGGGGACACGCACGACTATTAACTAGTGTACTGCTGGAGTCACGCCAGGAAGCAGCCGGATTCAATCAGATATAATTACAGACGAAAGACAAACAAATGCACATTTCCAGAGAACCCAGGCGACACAAAAACACACGCACGAATTCACGCCGCATCGAATAGCCTTGACAAAGCCGACGACGACCCAATGACAACGATCACGGCGCCGACGGCAACGGCGACGCCATGAAAGCAACACCCGTGTGTGCCGCTGTGCCTGTCGTGCATGCGAAGGGAGATATCGTCTACTATAAACTCACGAGGTGAGGACCAGTAGTGCGGACGGAGCACTCTTCTACCCTGCTCGACGCATTGTGCCGACAGCGGGAGCTATTTTCTCCTGCTTGGTGCGTTGTACCGAGAGTGTTGTCCGCCCGACGTCCATGGCAGCAGCATAGCTCGAATGTCTTCGAAGCCCTGCGATGCGGCGTGAGAGCCCGAGCGAGAGGAGAAAGAGCGAGCGAGGTTGCAATGACGATTCTTGAAATTGTTCTGCCGTATCTCATATACATAGTTTGCAGTTGTACCGCAGAACAGCAGCAGCAGCAGCAGTTGTGGTACAGGCCCCGGCCGGCGCCGTGTCTCTCGCCACGTAGCTGGCGCAGGAGCTCTACGGCGGTTCTCTTTAGGATGCATTGTTGACGTGAGGTTCTCTATCGAATGATCCCGCTGGTATGGTGTTGCTGCATTGTGTTCGTTTCTCGGCCTATTTCTCACTCTCTGTGCCTCCTGCCATAGTCTATAACTGACGGAATAGAAATCCAACAAATTGTGGAGAACACCTTCATAAAGGTTGAAACTCCCCAGCGTCTGTCGAGGACGAAACCCTTTTTTCTACAATGGCGTCGACAAGGGATGTCAGGTGTCTGCTTTTGGTTGCAAAAGATACGGGTTCCAAACCCGCTGCTTACTTAATTTTCTTCCGGAGTACGGAAAAAGAAAAACGGTGGGTGGGCCAAGAAACGATGCACTGTCTATCGAACTCGAAACTTTTGGCAATGCGTGGCGGAAGTGGTGCACCCGCACACATGCACAGAAGATTGTTGGAAAAAAGGTGGTTCTACTCGTCGCCAGCCGGTCGGGTTCCGGTTACCCCAAGAAGTAGCAAGAAGACTTCCCTTGCCTAGCAAACAAGAAGAAGCCTCGAAAAAGGGGTGAGTAATGTGGAGAACACCTTCATAAAGGTTGAAACTCCCCAACGTCTGTCGAGGACGAAACCCTCTTTTCCACAAAATCACCGGAAGCCTCTCGCTCATGGTGCGACAAGGAGGGATGGATGCCTACAGGAACTGACTTCTCCTTCGGTCAGGCGAATTCTCAAGTCGTCTCTAGAGCTTGGCTTCCTCTCTGCCGAGAGCTAGAATGACGGCGAGGTAGAAACTGTACCAGAGCAGTACATTTCAGCAGGTAAATCTGCAAGCCAAAGGCGCGACATGAGAAATACCGGAGAATAAAGGCAAGACTACAACAGCAGTCAATCCGGAGTAGTGTATCCATATCATGATGGACGGGTAGGCGCTATGTACACACATGGGTCTCTCACCACGCCCAGACTTGCTTGACTCCGTCAATTCGTCCATTGTACGGTTCACGGTTGGATGTACCAGAGTTGTGTGCTGACAGTGAGATGTGAGATGTGGAATACGGGATGTGGGATGCGGGCGCGTGGAGCGAGGAGTTGGGGAGCGAAGGGAAACTTTGGGACAGGCAGAACCAAAACGAGGCGGTTCTTGCGTTTCCCATATTACCGATCAACCGGGCGTTGTGGTTCGGAGTGTCCTCAGAGGCCGCCGCAGAAAGGCCGAACACACACGACTCCAGGACGGGCAGCCTGTGCGACCATGCACACGGTCCACCGGTCCACCTATGTTGTCGACATGTATATGCATACCAGGATGCATACTACAGTACAAGTACGCAGTAGCCGCTCTTTCGGTGTTCCTCTCGATTGATCAACATTTGATATAGACTAAGGTGGTTGCTGTGAAGTGTACAAAATTTTTCTAACAATTAATCGTAGACATACATATACTTTTTCTAGGTACGTTAGCCTGTGACCACGGAAATTGACCGAGTCAAGTGCTGGATTAGTACGGAGAGATGGAGACAGAAGGAGGTACTGGATAGAGAGACCGGGATGGTTTTTAATGTGAAGACATCAACAACAACAACATACAGGTAGTTTTCTCTGACGCTATGATTCCATTGTTAATCTGTCTCTGACTCTTTTCCATGATAGAGATGGACTCGTTGTGTCATAGGAGTATTAAGAAAAATGAAAATAAAATAAAAATGACTCTTTTCTATGATAGAGATGGACTCGTTGTGTCATAGGAGTATTAAGAAAAATGAAAATAAAATAAAAATGACTCTTTTCTATGATAGAGATGGACTCGTTGTGTCATAGGAGTATTAAGAAAAATGAAAATAAAATAAAAATGACTCTTTTCTATGATAGAGATGGACTCGTTGTGTCATATTAAGAAAAATAAAAAAAATATAGCCAAGGGTGTTTTTTTTTTTATCTCCCATCATCGGATTCTGTCGGTTGCCCCTCTGGCCCCTATCCTCCATTTCTTTTAGCTAGACGACCCAACCGGGGTCACACAGGAGGGGGGGCTGNCCCCCTCCTGCGGATCCAGCCTGAGGTATTTTTATCGCGAGAAGGGTACAGCAATCCCTTCCCTCGCCACGTACGAGGTCGATTATGGTTTACTAACAACGAGCTTTGCAACGCGTCGCTTTTATGCTATTACGGGTATTATTATCAGGCCGAAAAAATACGAAGTATGTATTCGGTTATTACGAAACCGTACTTTCTTGAAATATATGGAGGTGTTCCTCTAGGTTTCCGTAAAAAGAGCGAAGCGTATTTTTTGTGGGCTTGCTCCTTTCACTGCTGTCCAGCAGTAGGTACAGCAGTGTCTGCTATGCATACAGCAGCAGTCGTTGTATGGGAACGACAGGAAGGTACTATGGTGACGCTGAAATAAGTTCAGCAGTATGGATAGAGCGTGCAACACACGCCGGCACCACTAAACATTATACATGCCTCGTCGGGAGCCTACACAGGTTGTCGCATCCCCCAATGATAGCGTACAAAAGTCGACACGTGCTCCTCATATGCATATGCGAGGTTAGTTGTGTGTTCGGTGAAGAACACAGAGCCGTCTCACAACCCTAGTCGGGAGGTGTATTGGGCCGGTACTCTGGCGAGTTTAACGATGACATGCGTCCTTTGACGCTGGCGATTGCAAACACGCCCCCTTTGACACTGGTACATATTTCCAGACCGACACACGCTCATCCTACGAAAATTATCTGCGCGTCGCTCCGCAACCCCACAGCACTGCGATCGCCAATCAACGGCGCCATAGCTGTAGAAGTCCGCGTTGCCGTGGCGTTGAGGATCCTGGCTGGTGCTAGTTACTGGGATGTTGCCCTCATGTTTGGCTTGTCGGTGCCGACCACGTACCAGATATTATGGTCGGTGATCGACGCCATCAACAAGACGCCTGCGGTTGGGGCATTTGACTTCCCCCTGACCGAGGAAGGCTGCATGCGAAATGCCAACAGATTCAAGGTGAGACCTAACGGTGGTCATTACTGCTGCTGTGGGTCATTATTGGCGGCATTCTCTTGACCAGCCGCGGGATGTCGTTTTTTTTTTAATTACGTCTGGCGTTTCCAGCTGTTTTATTGTAGGGAGGCCTACGTCGCAAAGCTTGTCCTCGATGTACTCGAACGTGCGCCCCAAAGCTGCCGCGCGTTCTGGTCCATCCACCTCCCCACCACCCATCTGGCAAAACATGATGGCCGCGGTCATCTCTTGCTCCATGAACCGCCGCGGCCAGCTCGCGATGGAGAACTCGCAGGACTCGAGCACACTTTTGAAAGCGGTCGCTGGTGGAGCCACCATCCGATTAGGCGGCAGATGGTCGATGGCGTCTCGCAGCATGGCGGCATCCTTCTGGGAACAGATGATGCCCGAAAAGTACTTCGCCACGTCCAAAAGCGAGGAGCGCGAGTTGCACTTATCCTTGATGAGGGCGTTTTGGCCTGTTGTGTGTCCGGCGGACAAACACGCAAGAAGCGACACACAAACCAAACCGTGGCTTAGTGATTGGTGTCATCAGACATCGTCGAAGTCGCAGGACGCCGAACGACTGCAAGAGAAGCCTATGACTTGACGCACCCATCGCCACAGATGTATGTACACGTGAGCCG